CGGCGGGGGGTCCCTTTATAAGTATATTTTATACAAGGATTCCCCGAAATTTGATTTTCTGTGGAGGGGGCGTTTATTACACCTATTCTATCCATCCATCATTATATATTAAGTTTTCTTAACGGTTAATATATAATGCTTTAGCCTTTCCATTCAATGGGGGCTTATTTTTATAACAATATAGTAATTTGAAAATTCACATAAAAGAAGTATGCACCTACAATTTCTAAATTAAGTACTATCTTGTTTTTTAAATTAAAAAACATACTCCCTGTTTTATCATTTAAATTTTATGGTTAAATTAAAATTTAATTATCACTTATCTTAAATAATGAAAAATATATACCGGCCGAATCCACCGTAAAGGTGGATTACGGAAATTAATTTCACAAATAACAATAGATACTCCCCAACTGAAGCCCCCGAATCCACCGTAAAGGTGGATTACGGAAACCCTTGGCTCCGGAGGATAAGGTTGTATTGTTTATTTATTAAATTTACAACTCTATCCTCCGGAGCCCCCCAAAATCTGCGATTTTGGGAAGGGCTATGGTCATTAATGTAGGTAGAAAACTGCCCTGTTTCGTAAAACAAGCACGGTAGAAAAACCTTCGTTGCAAAACTCGGAGTTGCCTTCGATTTCGGCTTTGCCGCGAAGGAGGGTAACGTTCCCCTTCCTATAATAATGATTTTCATCTAATTTCATAGACGAAAATCCGTAAAGCTTTATACCTTTTGGCTGGCTGGCAGTTGTTATGTAATTTCCGGATTCTTCGAATCGGTGTTACCAACTTACTTCGTACACGAAGTAAGTTGGTCAACCACACCCCTATTTTGTCATGGGCCTGGGGTCCTTATACAAAATGGGGTTAAAAAATAAATTGCTATTAACCCCGGGTATAGAAATGTTGTTGCCATCTCTTAACCCTCGCTGAACCTTTTTTTTCTGAAAGGAGGTTTCTTCGGAAGGTTAAGTTGCTGCGCTAACCCACTCAAAATTTCAGCATGTACTTATGTATGCGCTGAAATTTTACCCCCGGCTGCTTTCATGTCTTCCTGCCGTGTGGACTGGCGGGGATATATTGTGTTACCGTATCTTATCCTTTAATTTATAATATGAAAACAAATTTTATATCTAAAGCTCAACGAGCTTTATTAACTTTAAGTCCTAAATCTAACCCTAACCTCTTCCCTTTCAGGGAAGAGTGTACGGGTCAGAAATTCTGGTTGGTCTATTACTTGGTGATCTTTTCGCTCGAAAACAATCTTCTAGTGTTAATGCTTCATTACTATTCGAACAAACATAGGGGAATTGTTAACACCCTTAGGTTTAGCTTACTTGCTGTGCGATGATGGGACTTTCAATAAAACAAGTAAACATAGAGTGTTGTGTACAGATCGCTCCATCTGACGATGGAGCGGCCCGGCCCGGCAGCTACACCAACTCGGCTAGGGCCGAATAAAGCCTAGGCTTTATTCGATCGCAGCGAGTTGGTGTTCTTATACAATAAAAGAAGTAGATCTTTTAGTTAACGTTTTACATACTAAATGGAATTTAAAATGTTACAAAAATAAATATGGCTCTGGTTATATAATCATAATTCCTTCTTATTCTGTTCCGGTTTTACCAGATTTGTTGTCACCGCATATTCCTACTATGATGCGATAGCCCTTCCCCAAATCGCAGATTTGGGGCTCCGGAGGACAAAATCGGCTTATAAGGTCATGCGCACGAACCGTTCCTGCATGGCCTTCGGCGAAGCCCCTCCTAGAGGGACCACACAGGGCCGGCGCCGGGGTCTATAGAAAATTTTGCGGTCTCTTTTTCCCGGGATATAATCCTATTTATTTTAAAATATATAGGAGCTGTGAATCCCACAACAAGTCCATTGAAAAAGCGAACATGCTGAAATTGGTAGCCAGTCTTTTGTTAAGTAAAAGTGGAGTAGATCCGTAAGAGTTCAAGTCTCTTTGTTCGTATTAATTTATTTTTAATTTATAAAATAAATAAAAACAAAAATAAATTATTGTTACAATAATCGCGTAAAATTAAGGGTTAAATAATATATGCGTTTTTTACGCTATATTTCGAGCTAAAGCTCGGAAGGTTTCTGGGATGGAAATTAATCTCCACCCTGGAAGACAGTAAATACAGGGAATGCCTCTAAATCTAGGCACCGAAGGTGAATTACGATTTAGAGGGACCCTGATATTTAAAACCGAACCCCTTAATTCCGCCTTTAGCTTTTTTTGTTCCATTTTTGGCAATCACATTTTATCCGCCCTGCTGCTGCGCTTGGTAAAGGGATAGAAAAGTTAAGGGAATGATTGTTTTAAAGGGCGTATTCCGCGGACTACTCCGCCTGGGGACCAAGGCGGAGTAAACAGGATAAATGGATTTAAGGGTAAATGGATTTAAGGATAAATGGATTTAAGGGTAAATGGATTTAAGGATAAATGGATTTAAGGGTAAATCCAGGGTATACTTTAATAAAGTATAACCCTGGATTTAAGCCCGTGGTAAATTCGGTGTTCTGCATTCTAGATGCCCCGACATGGACGTCAATTTAGGTCGTCCTGTCTGCGCCTTACCTCGTTTTTGTTTCAGTTCTTCCCTGAAAGGGAAGCAGCAGAACGACACAACCCCACTTGTGGAGGCACGGGCTAGATCATGGTTCTCCATATATTTTCAATTCTAAATATTTAGCCGAAATAGTTTAATTGGTAAAACGATTTCCTTGTAAGATTTAAATGCTTGGTTCAACTCCAACTTTCGGCACTTCTAAATTTAGTTCGAACCCCAATTGGCGCATCATCACCGAAGGTGGATGGTCCAATCGGAGCTAGGGCCGGATCAACGTTAAGATGAATCGATTGTAATCTGGCAAGGGACAGTTCAGTTCGATGGGAGGAATTCAAATTCCCCAAAATTTTCAGGTCTTCTGGGATGGGGATTAACCTCCACCTTGAAGACGTGAAATACAGGGAATC